AAGGGTGAGGTAGTCTCGAGGGCGAGGTCATGGTCAAAACCGGAAGTAACACCTAGGTGTGAAAAGGTGACCCTCCAGCTCCTGGTCCTAGACCGGTTACCTCGCTCAGTGGAAGGCCCAAACCGGAAGTTCCTCGCTCTGTGGAAGGCCCTAAACCGGAAGTTCCTCGCCCAGTGAAAGGCCCAAACCGGAAGTTCCTCCCCCAGAAGAAAAGTTGACTACTTATATTATATATATACATATATTATATATATATAATATATACATATATATATATATTATATATATATATATATTTTTAATATATATTATATATATATATATATATATATATGATACCACCTCTAGAACTATTCTAGGGACCCTCTCCTCAGAGAAAAGAATGAACTTGCTTCAGGGAAAACTCAAGGTTCTCCTAAAGCTGTTTGAGAATTTTCTCCAACTACCCCCTATATTTAATTAATATATATTTTATTTAAAAACAAAATACATTGACAAAACATTCACATAGATACAGTAGAAAGTAAAACAACATAGGTAACTCAGAACTACATCTCGAATACTTCGTCGAGCTACCCGGCAGTGGGCCGCGTGCCCAGAAGGCTGCAGGAATTTCCTTTCTGGATCGCAACACTGAGTCTCTGAAAGAGGAAGCTGGTCGCCCTGTGGTCCTTGGTTTCTATGATGAGCTTTTCACCCAGCTCTTTGAGGAACTTTAGAGCACACTTGCCCCATGCTCCAAGGGTCTCCGACCCTATTGGGATGAAATTAAAGCAAGGGGAAAGTCTTCATATTTGCGGATCTTCTGGGTCTCCCTGTGGCTGGCAGCTCCACCCCATTCCACTACAGAGTATGGCAAGCAGGTGTCTGCCAATGTGGTGGCACAGGTGTAGTCCCAGGCAATCTGCTTTCCACCCTTCCATGATAGCATAGTGGCTCCATCAGGACGCTTTTGACTTCCGTCAGACCTCTGCACTTGGGGTTCCCGTTGAGCTGGGCAACGGGCTGTGGCGAGGCTTCTCTTTATAATGTCATTGACCTCCTATGCCTGGCATACTTCCCTTCGCTGTGTGACACACGAGGCCCTGAAGTTCGAATGATCGCTGTGCCCTCCCCAAAATACACCTATGTTCCGGGGGGGGGGGCGGCTAGGCAAAGAGAAACCCGTCCAATGGCCTGTGGGTTAGCGGTCCCCAAAGGGAGGAATTTGGGGAAACACTAACAAAAAAATTTCCCTGGGGTGGGGGGGCCTTCATGAGGGGGACAGCTTTGCCTTTTTTCTGAGACTTAGACAGCATTGTGTTGGCGTTTTTTTCCATATCGTTTTGCCCCAAGGGATGTTTGTGTTCTTTGGGAGGGGGGTCTACTGGGGGAATTTTAAAGGATGTCCACCGAATCGCTGCTTCAGTAAACCGGGGTCTTGAGTCCTCCCCGTCTTAAAGTGTTGGGGAACAATCTTTTTGATAATGCCTGGACCCAAAACACGAAGCAAAAAAAGCAGTCGCACGGGGGAGGGTTCCCTGACCCCATTTGACCCTCAGTGACGGGTTCAGTCCCTTTCTTAAGGTTGCCCTCGGGTGTGCTCTATTCGTGGGTTTTGGGGTTTCCAAAAGGGGTGCAACCTCGGAAGTGGTGAGTCTTGGAATGAAAGGGCCCCCTTGTGGGGAGATACAGGCATCAGGGGCATCAAATTGTTTATTCCTCCCCCATTCTCATCAGGTCATTCAATTTGCCCCTTGAGGACTGTGTCGAGGTTGGTGACCCAGGGGGCCCCAAGAGGGCCTGTTGGGGGGGTGATTAGAGCTAGGGAGGATTCTTCACACAGCATTGTTTTTTTTCCCGGGTTCGCCGTGGATGATTTCACACTTGGAGGGTTGAGGATGGTCCTAAGTCTTCCCCTGTGTTTTAAAAGTTGGGTCCCCCCCGGGGACTTTCAGACCCCCCGATGCCATCATCCAGTCCCAGATTTTGAGCTCACTGTGGCTGGAATTTAGTTCTCTTACTGCCAAGCAGAAGAGAAGGGGCTAGGGGGTCCCCTGCTGAACCCCTTTTGATGAAGAATTTTCATGTTCTCCAAACAAAAAAATTTGGGGGTTTGCTGTAGCCAGCTAAATAAAGGGAAAAAGACTGGGGAAAACCGATCCCCAAACAGCTGGAAAGAAGCATCTTCTTCACCAAAAAAAGGGCTTTTTCTAAAATCAATTTTGACCCCGGGCCTTGCTTTGGTAGGTCCCTATGTGGCTTTGCTGATGAGGCAGCTTCACTCCTTGAGGCCCAAAGCCCAGTTGGTGTGGGGGGGTTAAATGGCAGCTTCTAAAAAATGTTTTTATGTGTTTTGGGGCAACGGACGGCAAAGTGGTTTCCAACCCAAGGGTTGATTCCCCCATCCTTCTTCAACGCACATATGGCTCCAAAAAAAAAAAGGTTTAATTTCTCTGGGGGTTCGCCCGCCAGGGCGTTTTTGAGAAAGTTTTTAACCTGTGAGAAGAATTGATGCAGATGCACCGAGTATGGATTTACCATCTCTTTGAGGTGCTGAGGTGAATTCCAGCGTAACCTCCTTAGTCCTTCTGAAATGACACAATCGCTCTATAGACTTCCCCATTCTGGGAAAATTAATTGATAGTGATGGGGTCTTCCCCAGGGTTGTTTTTGATGGCATGGTGCCCGGTTGGATGCTTATTCTTAGTGCTTGGGCTGTGGTCTATCTTTGGGTACAGTGTCGCACTTGCAATTATTCGGGTTGCTCCCACTGTGTTACCTTCTTCGATTTTTTTGTAACCTGTGCGCAGATTTTTTCCCTTTTTAGTGGGGCTTTTCTTGGGGTTTTTACCTCTTGATTCCCGGTGATGGGGGAGAGGGACACAATTATCCCTTTTGGGCAGTTGCCCCTGCCTTTATAACTGACGTGGTTGCATTTGCCCCCGTCTCTCAGGAACTGCATGAGACATTTCCCAACAGGGTAGGTTGCGCAGCTTGGATGGTGCCCGGGCTTCTAAATTGGTGGAAACCCCCATTCACCTGCTTAAAAAGGTCTGTGAATTTTTCCCTGCTGCATTGAGCGAGCCGCTTTAGGGATGGGGATAGGTTACTGCTAGCAGTGGATTTAAATGCCAACAGAAGGTTATCACAAGTGAGGAGGTTGCCATAGGAATTGTCATCTGCCTCTGGAGGCTGTGGGCTGCTCTCTGCTGGGGGCATATGTGATCCCGCACACCCATTGTGTGCACGAATGTGGCCATCCCTGTTGCGTGCTCGAAACTCTCCACACACCTGACATGTGCCTCTTCTTTCATTGTTGGGTACACTGTTTCCCTGGCTTTGTGGCTGGCTGGCTTCATCATCTGCCATACCTCAAACTGTGTGGTAAGCCCAGGCTGAAGGGAAAATGGCGCATGGCACATACCGCATGTAGTTCATGGTGGTGGTGGGGGGAGGAGAGGGGTCTCCCGTCCTTGTGGTGGGCGGTGGAGGAAAGGGAGGAGTGGAAGATGTGATGAGGCGGAGTAGGGCACTCACTCCCTCCCAGGACAAGTCACTATACACCACAATGCTCTGTGCACCTGTTACTATACACCACTATATATATGATGTATATATGATATATATATATATATATAATATATATATATATATATATATATATATATATATATATATATATATATATATATATAGTATATATGATAGCTGTCATATATACTATGTGTTGGAATCAACACATCATCAGGAGCTTGCAACACAAAAGGCCTAGAGCTATCATTCTACTACCCCCGTGGTTGTTTTGCATCCTGTATCACTTGGTTTGCAATATTTGCGCATATATATATATATTATATATATAATATATATATATATATATATATATATATATATATATATATATATGCCCTCCCTGGGCAACCGCCCAGGGAGGTACTACCGTCCTGCCAAGTGAGTGTAAAACGTAAGCCTGTAATTGTTCTACACGATGGTAGGATTGCTGGTGTTTTTTCTGTCTCATAAACATGCAAGGTTTCAGGTACGTCTTGCTACTTCTGCTTACACTTAGGTCACACTACACATACATGTACAAGCATATGTATACACACCCCTCTGGGTTTTCTTCTATTTTCTTACTAGCTCTTGTTCTTGTTTATTTCCTCTTATCTCCATGGGGAAGTGGAACAGAATTCTTCCTCCGTAAGCTATGCGTGTTGTAAGAGGCGACTAAAATGCCAGGAGCAAGGGGCTAGTAACCCCTTCTCCTGTATATATTACTAAATATGAAAGGAGAAACTTTTGTTTTTCCTTTTGGGCCACCCCACCTCGGTGGGATACGGCTGGTGTGTTGAAAGAAAGATATTATATATGCAAAAGAACCACAGGGGGAGTTGAATGATAGTTCTAGGCCTTTCATGTTGCAATGAGGTAGGAGAAGCTAGGCAGCTAAGTGCCAGAAATATGAATCAGAGTATTAAAACATTAGAAGACAGCCACCCCACTACCACTGCTATGGTAGTAATGACCTAGAAAACAGTATTTATGACATGACAAATATAAAAAATCGGTCAGACTGTTATATCTTCAGTGTTTTATATCGTATCGCAATCCGAATTTTTGACAATTGTCATGTCACTAATGCTATGTTTGCTTAGCTGGCCTAGCTTCTACCTCATTCAAGCTAAAACATTCCCCTGATCTTTGAACTTTCTTCTCATTTCTGCAACATTACAAGCCCTTAGTGTTTAAAACTCCGGATTTAAATCATATCATATTTAAAAACAAAAGTGTATAATGAGTTTAAAATTATTCGGTACGTGACGTATGTGATATACTGAATGCATTACTCCTAAAGAAATATTTGTAATTAGAAACACTTGAAGTACCTTCACCCACATCCCTCCTGTGGTTGTTGTTCGTTGGTGATTGCTTGTTTTGTGACTAGTTACAACAGTATAAGGTAAATATAATGGGTGTTATATCTTGTTCACTCCCATGTGTTATCCTTGTGTTGGCAGGTGAAGGTAGCTGATGCAGAGGGTCAGGTGGTCCGTATAGGAGAGGCAGGAGAGCTGTGCGTCAGGGGTTACTGTAACTTTCAAGGTTACTGGGGAGACCCGGAGAAGACTCAAGAAACTATGGGTGGTGACAGGTGGTTGAAAACTGGGTAAGTAACGTGTTTACATGTAAGATAACAGCAGCTGTGCGTACGCTGCTGCTGCTGTTGCTACTGCTGCTGTTGCTACTGCTTTTGCTACTGCTCCTACTACTACTACTGCTCCAGCTGCTGCTGTTGCTACCGCTCCTACTACTACTACTGCTCCAGCTGCTGCTGTTGCTACTGCTCCTACTACTGCCCCAGCTGTTGCTACTGCTCCTACTACTACTACTGCTCCAGCTGCTGCTGTTGCTACTGCTCCTACTACTGCCCCAGCTGTTGCTACTGCTCCTACTACTACTACTGCTCCAGCATCTGCTGTTGCTACTTCTGCTACTACTGCTCCAGCTTCTGCTGTTGCTACTGCTACTACTACTCCTCCAGCTGCTGCTGTTGCTCCTACTACTACTACTGCTCCAGCTGCTGCTGTTGCTACTGCTTCTGCTGCTGCTACTACTACTACTACTTCTGCTGCTGTTGCTCCTGCTGCTACTACTACTGCTGCTCCAGCTGCTGCTACTGCTCCAGCTGCTGCTGTTGCTCCAGCTACTACTGCTCCAGCTGCTGCTGTTGCTCCTGCTACTACTGCTCCAGCTGCTGCTGTTGCTCCTGCTACTACTATTACTGCTCCAGCTGTTGCTCCTGTTACTACTACTACTACTACAGCTGCTTCTGTTGCTCCAGCTACTACTGCTCCAGCTGCTGCTGTTGCTCCTGCCACTACTGTTCCAGCTGCTGCTGTTGCTCCAGCTACTACTGCTCCAGCTGCTGCTCCTGCCACTACTGCTCCAGCTGCTGCTGTTGCTCCAGCTACTACTGCTCCAGCTGCTGCTGTTGCTCCTGCTACTACTACTGCTCCAGCTGCTGCTGTTGCTACTGTTACTACTACTACTGCCCCAGCTGTTGCTACTGCTCTTGCTTCTACTACTGCCCCAGCTGCTACTGCTGCTACTGCTCCTCCTACTACTGTTCCAGCTGCTGCTGTTGCTACTGCTCCTGCTACTTCCCCAGCTGCTGCTGTTGCTTCTGCTCCTACTACTACTGTTCCAACTGCTGCTGTTGCTACTGCTCCTGCTGCGGTCAATGATCACGTGAGGTCAACTTTTCCTAAGCTGTCTGGGAATTAGCGTGGGGTGTTACCGAGCACCATGGCTTGCTGTAGTGCTTTAGAATCTCATGTTAGAGTGTTGAAGAAGGAGGTTTTACTTCTTCAGGAGGAAAATAGGAGACTGAAGCTTTGCCTAGATGGGTCTGGGAGTGTTAGGTGGTAGGAGTTGGTAAGGAGGAAAAGGTTACCAGCAGTGAGTTCACAGTTCAAGAAGAAGGAAGATAAGGAAGGTTAATAGAGAAGATGTGAAGGTAGGAAATCGATTTTCTGTTTTCCGGATGAGTGTACTTTAGTGGTTAATGAGGTTAAAGGTACCACTGACTCCCCTGATAAGGTAAAAAATATTCTGATTGTTGGAGACTCTCAGGTAAGATATATGGACTGTGCTTTTTGTAACAGAGATAGGAAGGTCAGACAGAGGGTGTGCCTCCCAGGAGCTGCTGTTGGTGACATAGTCAGCAGGTTGGATAATATTATGTCAGGTAATGGAAACTAGCCCATTATCTGTTTTAGTGCTGGTGGAAATGGCATCAGGTAGGGCAGGAGACAGGAGCTGCTGTATGAGTACAGGTCAAACATAGATGTAGTCAGGTCAAAGGAAGGGATCACAGTCATATGTAGCATCTTGCCTAGAAGGGGAGTGGGCAATGAATGAATATCCAAGGAAATTAGTATAAATTGCTGGCTAGACAGTTACTGCAAGAAACTTGCAATCCCATTCATTGATAACCGGAACAAATTCTATGGCAGACATGATATGTATGCAAGGGATAGGGTCCATCTCTCTGGGGCTGGAGTGGTTACATTAGCCAATTCGATTGAGGGGGTAATTGATGACTTGTCTAGAACTTTAAACTGATAGATTATAGAGGTATGGGTGTTTGTAGGAAACAATTTGGCTGCAATATTAGGGTTGAAAACAGATATTGCCAGGATACTGCAGGGATATGTTTAAAAGACAATATTGAAAATAATGTTGCTAGTAAAGGCAAAGCAATTGTTCAATAAACAGAGAGAGATAGTAGAGGGCAACGAATGACTAGCTCCCTTAAGGTTTACTATACAAATAGTTGGAATCTAAGAAATAAGATTGATGAGCTAAGATTACTTGCAAGTGCAGGTAATATAGATATTGCTATAATGGAGACCTGGTTCAACTTGAAAGATAGAGAAGTGCCTTCTGAATGCAACATGCAGGGTTGTGAACTATTTCACACTGATAGGGTCAACAGGAAGGGTGGTGGAGTGCCTGTGTATGGTCAGAGATAATTTAAATTGTTGTGTTAGACAAGATATAAGATTAGAAACATTGGACACAGAATCTGTTTGCTACAGTTTCTCGAGGGTCTTGAAAAATTAATTTTGAGTGTGATTTATAGGCCCCCAAACCTTAATAGGGAGTGCAGTAAGCTGCTAAGGAACAAAATTCATAAGGCATCTAGATATGAAAATGTTGTGTTAATGGGAGATTTTATCAATTTTAGACAATGGAACAATGTGACAGGAAATCTTGAGTCTAGTGACTTTCTTGATATGGTTCAGGATTGCTTGTTAAAACAGTTTGTGACAGAACCAACTACAGGAAACAACCTGCTGGACTTGGTTCATGCCAACAAAGAATCACTAATTATCTTGAGGGTAATGATGAGCTTGGGGAAAACGATCACAAATCACTTAGTTTCAACATATCATTGAATTACCCAGATAACTGCAATCAAGTCCCTGTCCCAGACTTCAGCTTGGCCGACTTCATGGGATTGAGGAATTATCTGGGTGGGCTAAATTGGGATGACCTGACTATGGGTCAGGTAGGTGGGGTTGGTTGCCAATATGATGTATTTCAGAGCATAGTTCTAGCTGCCCAGACAACTTTTGTTCCGAGTAGGGAAATTAGATCTAACAAAAATGATCCCAAATGGATAAACGATAGATTATATATCACTACAAACTGGCATAGTCCCAGACAAGTGGAAAATGGCAAATGTAATACCTATTACTAGGCAGGTGAAGTCCTAAGCTTCGAACTATAAACCAATAAGCCTTACCTCCATAGTGGGAAATTTATGGACTCAATAATTGCCGAGGCAATTTGTAGCCATCTTGAAAGGCATAAATTAATTAATTTCAACACGGTTTTACAAAGGGGCATTCCCGTCTTATGAATTTACCAACTTTTTTCACCAAGGTATTTGAGGAGGTAGATCATGGTATTGAATATGATATTGTGTATATAGACTTCAGTAAGGCTTTCAATAGTTCCACATCAGAGGTTATTGAGGAAACTTAAGGCACACGGAATAGGAGGAGAAATTTTTTCCTGGCTAGAGGCATGGTTGACAAATAAGCAGCAGAGATTTTGCATAAATGGGGAGAAATCAGAATGGGGACACATCACAAGCGGTGTTCCACAGGGGTCAGTGTTGGGCCCCTTGTTGTTCACAGTTTACATAACATAGATGAGGGAGTAAAGAGTGACATAAGCAAATTTGCTGATGACACCAAAATAGGCCATACAATTCATTCTAAAGAGGACATTAGAGCACTCTAGGATGAAGTGGCAGATGCAGTTTAATACGGACATTACAAAGTTCTAAATGTTGGACAGGAAAATAACCATGCCACATATAAACTAACATCCATACTTTATCTTCCCTCCTCACTGACAGTCCCACCTTTGACACAGACTCCCTTTTCGATTTTTTGACAGCAACAGATTTATTACACAAACTTCCTCTTCAAGGGGGGCTCCTTGGCGTGGTGAAGAGGCTCTTGGTCTAGGAATTAACCTATCGTTTCTTCCCAGAAAACCTAATTACCCCCCAATCCCCCCTCCCCTACCCCCTCCTCCCCATCCCCCCTTTTTCCCCTTTTCCTCCTCCTCCTCCCCACCCTCCCTTTGCCCTTCCTTTTTTTTGTCCTTTGGGATTTCCCCCACAGGCGGCTATTTCCCCAGGTGGGGGAAAGGGAAACCGGGGGTCCACCCTTCCGTTGGGTTTTTGGGGGTGGCGTAGTTTCCCGTGGAATCGGGATTGCCTAGGGATGTCCCGATCCCTCCCGGGTACCCCGGGAGTAGTTTGGGGGTGTCCTTTTGGCCGGGGGGTGGTTTCTGAAGCCCCCTTTCGGATTCCGGGGGTGGTCTGAAGGAGGTATGTTTTGTGGCGGTATCCGGCCCCCCCCTTTTTTTGTCCACCGAGGTATCGGAAAATGTGAGGTTGCTACCCCAATTGGGGTTTTACTGGCATAAGGGTATAGGGAGGGGTTCCTGCGCATCTGCGCTCTAGGGGTGTCGATCCTTTGGGGCGGAGGGAGTTTTTCGGCCTTTCTTTCCCTCCGGGAAAACCCCCCTCCCGGCCCCCCCTTTTTTTTTTTTTTTTTTTTATTTTTATTTTCTTTTCTTCTTTCTTTTTTTTTCTTAAAAACAAAAAAAAAGAAAAACCTAACCATGGCAGCCCTAGTCCATGAACCGGTACCCCCCGGGCCCCTTCTTGATCCCGCCCCCCCGTTCTGACCCCCCTGTCTTTGGCCCATCTTAGACATTCCTCATGCCTCTGTACCTTTTCCGGGTGCTTTTTCCCTCCCCCGTTCGGGTACGGGCCCGGACTGACTCCTTCGATTTATCAGACCTTCGCTCTCCTCTGACTATGCTTCCGGCCTCTCCCTCTCGTGGGGAATTTTTTCAAATCCCCGACCCGTTCCCCACGTCGGACCAACTCGTCCCACGCCAAAACGCAACGAAAATTTTTACCTCTATGTTTTCTCCACCTTACCTTTTTGTTCTTCTCAGAAAAGAGACATCCTTAAATTTTTAAAGTATTTGGGGTGAAGTGGGACTAAATTTTTTTTCATTTTACACCAACCCTCTACTGCCTATCTTCTGCCAAAGTATTGGAAGGCACTCCTA